TCATCTGCCTCCTGTTGCTCACCTTAGGAGTGGGAAGGCCTTGAGCAGAGGTGGCTGTGCAGATGACGTGGTGCCTTGGGGCGCAGTGCTGTTCAGACCAGGTGAGGCAGCGGTAGTGCAGGCTTGGGCAGCCTGCTGCGGCTCTGTGAGTGACAGGATCCTGGCCATTGCCCTGCCCTGCTTCTTAATGTTGGCACACCCCAGAAATGGAGGGTATAGGTGGAATTTGAAGAGTGTTATTAAATAGCAGCAGCAGCAGCTTCCCAGGAACAGCGTGGGAGGGGAAGAGGGAAACATTAGGTCAATAACTAGGGCTTTGCAGAGCAGAGGCTTTTAGCAAAAAAATTTCTTACCCCCCCAGGGCAGGTACAAATTACCTGTCTAGCTCTCTGCTTATGTGTTGTGCCCTGGGCGCCCTTCTTCCCACGTAAGTGCAGCAGCTTGATGGCAAGGAAGGGATCATTGGGAAAGATTCCTTGAGGCTGTTGATTGTCATGCAGCCTCTCCTGGCTCTCTGCCATAAGTAAATATTTACTTTAATACCTAAGCGGTGGCTGTGGCAGGTGCTACAGGACTGATGTGCCAGCAGTGACAAGGTGGAGGAGCAGCAGCAGCAGCGGACTTGAGGTGGCCTTTGCACTCCACATGCAGCTCGTTTACTGAGCACTTTGAGGGTTTGTTTTTTTCTTTTCCCTCATGCCTTACAGCCCTGCTTTCTCTGAGCCATCTTCTCCCCTGCTGAATTCAATGTTGAAGAAGTGGCTGTGAAGTGATGAAATGAGCTTTAGGGAGTTTAGTAGACGATATACGTACACACTTCTGTTCAGGGAGGATGGAAAAGGCACACCAAAGAGATAAGTAGTTGCTTCTAGTGCAGTCTTTCAAAGTAGAGAAGTGTAGACATAAATTACTCAACCAAATTCTTCCCTTTACTTCATGGTTACAAGGATGTAGAACAGAAGCAACCAGCTGCTTCTTTAGGGAGTATTGCTTTCCCTTTGTCCAAGAGTCACCTTTTGTGTGGAAGCTTAGATACTTAGACAGTTTTGATATTTCTAGAGGAAGACTTTTTATATCTTGCTGACAGCCCCTGAACTCAGAGGGGAGATGGAGTCCCTGAAATGACAGAATACTTACGGAATCTCCTGGAAGTGTGGGAAGATCACCAGAGACAGAGTTTTCTACAAACATAAGCACAGGTCAAGCAACTGTTCTGTGTAATCCGGGCTGGGTTGTGTGGCGCTAAAGGGAAGGGGTAGGACCTTTCTTGCTTACTGAATGACGTTTATATGTTTATGTTGTTGCCAAGAAGAGAACAGCTTGCTATACTTACATTGCCTGTCTGGGCTTAAGCTTCTGTAGGGATGTTCTGAAGCTCCCACTCCTCAAACTTCACAGTGTTTATAGTTAGCAAAACATACCATCCAGAACTCTATTTCAGAACAGCATCTGGAAACAAATGCAACTGCCAGCATCATAAAATGCTGATTCACCACATCTAATGGTGTGGCTATGTATTACTGAATTAGCAGTGTAATTAGTGTAGTAGTGTAAAACTAGGAGCAAGTTTGACATTGGTTATGGTGAAGAGCCTGGAAGCTTTCTGTGACTGCTCGCAGTGATTATGGTCTGGTAAAGTGTGATGCAACGTGGTATTTGGCCTAAATGAAAATGCCACTACAAATCAGCTCTCTGGAGGCTGTGGTAGGGTGTGGTGGGCACCTTAAAGATTAGTGGACTTTTAAAACAGTGGTTCTAAACTGGTTCCTGAGCCCTCGGCCATCAATATGGCTGTTACACATGGCCTGCAACTAGGCTATGGACCAGCCCTAATGAAATGGAACTGGTGGATTATCAACTTTATGCATTTGTATTGCTGCTTTTAAGAGTGAGAGTTGCCAGCAATGTCCTGACATAGAAACTGGAGAATTGTGTTAGTGTAGGATTCCTGTAATAACTTGAATATTCCTCCTAGAAGTTCAGAACTAGAAAGCATGGACACTCCCACTGGCAAATATGTGTGGTCGCTCTGTGGTATCTTTTCAGGCTGGCTACTTTGGTTGAACTAGCTTAGTAACTTTTTATAAGATTTAGCAATGGAAACAAAAAGGCAAAAAAAAGTATCTGAAAGGAATTAGCTGTGATCTGGGAAGGATAATGCTTCCTGGCAGGCTTCTGACCTTCTTTGAAGAGAAGGACCTGCCGATGTTGAAGGAACTTTAATTTTTTTTTCTGCTCTGTAGATGGAGCAGGGGGTCTTGCTAATGGATGCAATTGCAACAGCCAGCCTGTATGACTGCATCAGATTGATTAGCTGGGTTCTGGTTACTGCTGCGAGTGGTGATTATGCCAGTACAGCTGCTTTCTCTTTTTATGTACTAATTACCACACGCGCGGATGTCATCACCCTTAACACTGCATGGAGTTGTCCCATTAGCGTGGGAGTGGGAAGCAGCAGGGGAGGGGAGCTCTTCGGTGTGACAAGCTGTTTAGAAGTGAATGGAGTGGAGTGATGAAGCAGCTATTCTCACGCAGCATTTTTAAGCCATCTTGTCTTTGAGATTCTGCCCTCAGCCAACATTTTTGCAGGTTGTCAGAAGCAGACCCATGTCCTTGGCAGCACTTTCCATGGGGTGCTATTTACTGCAGAGCACCTGGATGCTGAGCTGTAGCTAGCAAATGTGCCCCCTTGGTGTGGCTGGTGTGGAGCCTGCGGGGCAATGGCTGTGTGAACTGCCCTGCCTGCGGAGGAGCGCTTGCGGCCAGCCCAGGACGGCAGCTTCTCCAGCTGCGGTACCTTGCAAAGCCATTCTCAGGAGAAGAGAAACTGGCTGCTTCTGACTTGCCAAAGAAGGGTATGATGGAAAACCCTTGCAGTTCTTGAGAGATTTGGAATGCTTATTTTATGAATTTATGCTCCCAGCTCTGGCAGACCCCTCCCTTTCTCCTTCCTCCTCCTCCTCAAAATCCAGTCTCCCCATCTCAGAGTGCACCGTGATCTCCATGGTAACAGGTGCTACCATCATACATATTTCTTTTTTTTTCCCCTCTCCTTTTTCTCCTCCCCCCTTCCTCCCCCACCTCCTGCAAGCAAGGCAAGGAGGGAACAGGGCAGAAATGACAGAAATGGGTAAAAGCTAGATAAACCCCTAAGGGTCTGTTTCTTCCATCCAAGCACTGAGCTTCTCTGAATATGCTAACTACTGAGTGATAGCCAGGGCAAAGAGTGACCAGCTTCTGTTACACAGAGAAATTCTTAAGGATGTTTCCTCCTCTAATCTGGCTGCCTCAGAGGAGAGGTTAAGTGTGTTACTGATAACAAGAAATAATGTAGCTGTATTGTTTTGCTCTGACTTCTTTCTTTGCGTTATTTCAAGATGAAGGCTCTGGGTACTGGCTGTTGGAGGGCTCAGAGTTACGTGGTCTCTGCTTCAGACTTCTCAAGTTAAATTATCAAACGGACGAGATGTGGGGTGGGCAATAGAGCTACATATTAAAACAGCCCCAGTTTGTTATGCCAGCTAATGAGTCCCACCCTAATAATTCTGATTGTTACTTCAGGCCACCTCAGCAGTGCACTAGTGGTTGATCAGCTATCCTGTTGTTCCAGCACATCCCCATTCCCTTCCCTGCATCCTGCTCCAGCACTGTCCCCTTTTCTGAGGAGTCTGGAAGAAAGGTTTTGTGGTGGATGGATGGTTGCCCACCAGAAAATGTAATGAAAACATATCTTTCACCCGGGGCTTATCCCATTGAAAATCTAGATTTGAAGGCTGTGTTACCTGCAATGACTCCAGGTTTAAATCCTAGGTAAATTTCTGCAGAAATTCTGTTAATGATTTGAACTTGTAAATGCACTCTTCAGTCCTACCCTTCTGAAGCTGTGATGGAACGTGCTCTGATGCCCCAGTCCGCTGAAGCGGCTCGTCCCTGTCTGTTCCTGGTGGCAATAGCGACTCATTGCCCCACTTTCCTATGCCTCTGTTTTTATGATCTACATGTGTCGTATTTTCTGACTAAATGGAGTGTTGTCAGCATACCCAGTTCTGGTTGCTGGATGGCAGGAAAGCATTGTGCTGTACAAAAGGCATTAGCTTCTTGAAGTAGAAGGAGAGTATCTGCGTAGGGTATAATCTGTTCCGCTTCATCATTTTTGCTTTTCAAGCTCACATGCTTCAGAAACCAAGCTAGGGCAGACCAGAAAGCTGAGCTTGCTATTGGTCCTTCAGGTGCACAGGGTTTTCATTCACTTGCATTAATGCATCATTTGGGAAGCACTGGCTTGCAGCCGTGCCAACTACCTGCAGTCTTAGCAGCTCTTCAGCTTCTTACCTTACTGCAGGTAAAATCAATGGTGTCAGGAGGGGACCTGAACTGGGGGATTTGTTACTTGTGTTATTCTCATGATCTCTGGATTTCCTTTTCCTTTGTGCACTCTTGACGTGGAGGTGGGTCAAACTGTGAAACATTTTCAAGAGGCTGTTTAGATGTTTAAAAAAATAAAAAAAAAGTATATTATTTTTGCATGAAGTTTGGTTTGCTTCGTAGAAACAATAAACCTTTGATGCTGAGAGCCCTTGCACTTGCCAGTTTCCTGTTCTGCCCTAGTGAGTTTAGATGAGAGGTGAAGGATGGAAGAGTCCCAGTTGTCTTGCTCTGTAATGACTGTACCACTTGTCTCCATCACTTTGTTTAATTAGTTTGAATAGAAGGACTGTGCAGCCCGCTGAGTGACATGCAGATTCTCCTGGGAGCTGAATTTCTCCTGCTCTACAGCTGTGTGCCAGTCAGCCTGTTAAACACTTAGGGGCACATGTATGTGCAGCTCTAGCAGCTGCTTACTCTCACTGCTGGATTAGTGCTTTCTTGCAACATCCTGTAAAGTGACGTGTCTCCTTGGCCAGCTGTGCTGCTGCAGGGAGACTGAACATTTGTTTGAGCCACCTTGGCTCACCTGCCTTGTACTGTCCCGTCAAGTAATCTCCTGTTATTTTTTTCAGAGAGTTTTCAACGTTCTGTACCCGATGCCTGCCGACCAGAGAAGACATGTCAGCATCAACTCTGCTCGCTGGCTGCCTGAGCCAGGCCTGGGATTGGCGTATGGCACCAACAAAGGGGACCTGGTGATCTGCCGACCAGAGTAAGTGATTGCTTTCCATGGCGGTATAACTGCTTTGGCTGTTCTGTTCTTAAGGCAGTGGGGATAAGATGGCTTTTCACTGCCTGGGGCTGGGGCTTGAGGGACCCAAAAAACCAGCTCCTAATACTCCTTTTGGACTACCACAGTGCTTACCTAAGTCTCTTACAATCAATATTTGTTTTGCTGATTACAAAATTCTGAGGCTGTTTGAAGTGCATCTTGTAGCTCACTTTATTTCCCATGTCTTTCTAGGCTTTCTAGTGCAGTGTCTTCCAGGCTCTCTGAATTTATGGACTCCTAAAAGTTTCCAATGAGAACAGCAAATTTGAGCAGTTAGTGATATGCTTGCTTTCCTCAGCTTTCATGGACCCCTTGGAGACCACCAACCAGCTTGGAAGCTGCAGACCTAGACTTAGCATATACTTGTTACAGTATTGAAGCATGAGATTCTGTGAACTGCAAAGAATTTTGTCATTATTATGAGCAAGCCAGTAAATTGTTTTTGTCCTCACTTGAAAGCCCAGTGGTGTGGCATGTAGACTTTAATTCTTTCTTTATACAGCGCCACAAAGGGTGCAACTGTCTCTTTGTAAACTTGCAAAGAAGCACAAGCAAATTTAGATGTGGCATGACACACATCATGACTGAGTATCTGAGCAGTGAAACATGTATTGCTTTCAGTGTTCTTGGGTAGTCTCTGCACCATACTTGGAGACCCTTTTTCTCTGTTGTGTTGTGCGAGTGCTTCTTTTGGAGAGGTGTTTCTTTTATGCTGCAGGAACACTTCAGGGATTTCTCTGCTTCAGTTATTTCCTGGTACTAAACTACCTTGGTATTCTTTTGGGTTATGCTTCACATGTTGAAGTTCCTTGTAACTGAAAAGCTGGCAGCTAGAAACTTGCAGCACTGCTGGTGATCTTACTGCATGCTTGCGGACTCTGTTGTGCATGAGATCAGGCGTGTGCTGCTTGAAGAGAGTCATGTGGTCAGTGCAGAACCACTGTCTTAAATCAGAACAAATATATACAATTCTAATAGTGACTAATTCAGTATAGCCTTCTGGTGAAATCTGTGTTTGGAATTCAAATTGGACCAATTTCAGCAGTACAGAATGCCAGTGCTCTTCAACCAGCCTCCTTGTTCTCTTGAACATAATCTTTCATCAAGGCCTTATTTATACATGAAATTCTACAAGATACTATTGTGGAATAAGCTATAATCACTCTCTTCCAGGGTAAGTGGCTTTCTTCAAGAATAGTTGCTGTACTTTCTAAGCAGAAGAATTACTCAGGAATAATGGCTCTCTTCTTCTCGAACTCTAGAGAGTTATCCTAAGTTATTTTCAGTACAGAGAAGTGATAAGATCTAGTCTACTGATTAGGGCTCATGAGATGAACTTAGACGAGAACTCAGGGAAATTAAATCTCCCTGAGGGTGGATGCTATGACTGAGTGCTGCAGAGTTGAGCTTGGTCTGGCTGTCCTGGCTCACCATACCACACATTAGGTATCCATTCTGGAGCTTGCAGTAGCCCCAGGCTAAGTGGCATGTCTCCTTTTGACACCTCACTACTTAAAGGCACAACAGGAACACTTTCATGTTATGTTATATTACTGTCAGTCCTTCTGCAGCATCTCTGTGAAACCTTCTTAGCTCACCGTGATGCTTCCATCTCCTTACTTCTGTCACAACAACTGTCATGCACAATTTCAACAAAAATAAACTTTTTGTATATGAACATAAACCAAGGTGGCTGTAGAGGTGGAAGATCTATTGGTGGTTTGATGGAAATGCTTCAACAGGTTTCCTGCTGGTGGGTTGGGGTAACTGATGTTTCTGGTGATCATTGCAGACCTCACATGGGCTAGGGTGGGTTCTTTTGGGAGCAGGACACCTGATAAGTTCCATTCTCAACTGTACTATTTTATAGACAAGCAGTGCTAGAGTGACTTAAAAACATCTGCATGAAAGTGCAGCTATTCACCGAGCTGAGTAATTTGCATTGAGAATCTAACACCAGAATATACGAGTGAGGCAGGCTCTATCAGAGCAGAAGTGGCTTGCGACTGTGATGTCTGCCCCAGATCTACTTTGAAGATCCTCAGAGAAAAGAAAAATCCGAACATGTAGATACCATCTCAGTAGTTCTTGGCTCAATAGTTGGTTTGAGATTAGGATATCTGTTGACTTTAAGTTGAGAAGCGAGGAACAAAGATGAAAAATATTTGTGTAGTTTTCATACACAGTAATACAAAGGAAGAGAAAAATAAAGAGTTTGGCAATTGATGGAGTACTATGTGGCAGATAGCCTAGCAAACAGCAGGGGTCAAGAAAACGCTGTACTGCTGAAAACATCCCCACTGTTATAATTTGGCAAGGGAAACGGTGGTCAGTAGCAAACAGCTGAGATGGTTTCAGATGTCTCCACTGCACATGGGAATAAAGACCCAGAGAATCATAACCAAGTACTACAGGGATCACATAAACAGGTTGGAGTAGCAGCTGTGCCTCAAATACAGGACTTTAAAAGCGTGTGCTCAAGGAAAATGAGATGAGTAGGCTGGTAGTACAAGCTGACCAGAAAAAAAAAGGCATCACTTGAAGCTCCATGGGCTCATGAAACGCTATGCAAGTAGTCCTTCCTGAGTTCTTCAGAAAAAGTATTGGGTTGGCCAAAAAGTAATTCATTTTTTTCTGGATAAATGGAAGTTGAATTTTTCATGGCAAACATTAAACAATAAATATTAAACAATATATTGTCCATTTTGTTCATTTACCTTTTGCAGGTAACTTCATGATTCCACGCTCAAAAAAGTTCTTATCTTTTTGGCAAAAAACTGTTCCAAGAATGATTTGATTTCCTCGTCATCAGTGAAGATTTTACTATTTGAGGCATTTTGTAAAGAACAAAACAAATGGTAGTCTGATGGTGCCATGTCTGGCAAATACGATGGATGTGGTAACACATCCCATCCAAGCTGAAACTGTTCTTGACGAGTGACCAAACTTGTGTGTGGTCTGGCGTTCTCATGGTGAAGAGATGTTCTCATGAACACTTCTGTTTGATACCATCGTTTAATTTATCCAGTTGATGACAGTATGTGTCCGAATTAATGGTTTGGCTCCTTAGGAGCAATTCACAATGCACAGTACCTTTGAAATCCCACCAGACTAACAGCATAACCTTCCTTTGAAGTGCTTTGAGCTGGTTCATCACACTTGCTCCATGATCTTTCTCATTCATTGTTGCTGCAGGCAATCCATTTTTCATGGTCTGTTACCATATGTTTTAAAAATTGATTGTTATGTTTATGGGGTATGTTTTGAAGGAAAGGAAAATCAAACCCATGGAAAGCAGGATCAAATACTTTGTGATTTGACTAAGGTGGAATGTAGCAGGTTGGATACATTAAATTCTTGAAGACAGGTATGTATTTTTAGTTACAGGGTCAACTAAGGTCTTGCTCCAGGTCTAATACCTCTGTGTTTTAGTAAGACAGGTCCCATGTTGGAACTACAGTAGAACTAGTTAATTTGTAAAGAACTGGGATTAGAACAAGATCTGGTAAAGAGCAGGTGAGGGCCTCGCTACAGTGAAGAGTACAACATGATTGAGAGCTGGACTGTCACAGAAGAGGTCATTGATGGACTTACCTTACGAATCTGTTCTGAGTCTGGTTATTAATACTATTTACATAATGCCTTGTAAAGGTGTGCTGAATAATTTTGCAGAGGATGTAACATTAACTTTGTCATTGCACAGAAAGTTCAGAGTATTTCACAAGAATTGGATTGCCTTGAAAGTGACTGGAGCTATAGAAATGAGAACTTAATAGTACAAAGTGCACCTGGTGACTAATAACACTGAGCTCAGTCATTAAAATGACAGAGAAGGAGAGAGACCTGAGGTTTTAGTTGATCGTAGGTGATTAAGCCATCGATACATGAGGCTATAAAAACAACAATTTTAGTTCTAGGATGATACACAAGATGCCTAACAGCAGAGATAGCAGGATATTAGTATCACTATAGAAGAAACTAGCTGGAAACATAAGCTGGAAGAGTTTTAAATTCACAAATCTATATTCAGAAGTGGTTTTGAACCGGTACAGTAGTTGAGAAAAGCTGCTAGTGGGGGCAGTAGAGCATTTTTATCTAAGAAAGCCTGCAGCTTGGGGTCCTCAGGGAAGACTAAGGAGAGGGTTATGTAGCCTTCCATAAATCTCCAGGAAAGGAGAACTATTTAAATTTATATATTTTTTTATTAGAGGACAAAGAGGAATAAATTGACTATGACTAGGTTGTGGCTGCAAACTAGAGAAAGGTGGCAAACCAGCTGATTTGTGCAATAGCCTCTACGTTGGTTGAGGGGATGCAAAGGGCTTAGCTCTTTGATGATGCAGCTTGGCTGGCTTGCAGAGACAAGTGCATGACTTGTAATACTTGTGTCTGGGGGTGGGACTGGACTGCTGAGCCATGAGGCAGTGGTCAGTGCTTTAAACCCAGGGTCCATGTCTAAACAGGTGTTGACAAGTTGGCTCTCAGACCTGTTATGCTATCAGGAGGTGAGGTGGTGACAGCAGTGTTCATCCGCACTTGGAAATGCACCTAATGGACCTGAAAGAAGCCTGTAAGAGACTGAGGTTTGTGAGCCAGTACAGCAGCTATGAGGATACAATAAATGTCTAGCAGGGTTGCATTCTGTGATTCTGGTTAGTAAAGGAAAGAGAGGACATTGTGTACCCATTTCCTTAGATTTCAGGGTGACACCAAGCTCATTAAACTGTGCCTTTGAAAGGCATAAGTCTGTGTGCTCTGCTTTCTATGTGATTAAATTGGAAGAAACTTTTAATGTAGTGTCAGGAAAGTTCCTCCTTTCCCAAACACTCAAAGGCTGTCCAACTTATGTTGTTTACTAGTATGTTAGTTTGAACATGCAGTATTAGGTACAGACTTGTATTGAAAACCCAGAGATCCCATTTGTCAGTGAATTTGTCAGT